CTGAAACTGGTTTTAATTCATTTAAACTGGACTGCCGCTGGTTTTAATTCATTTAAACAGGGCTGAAACTGGTTTTAATTCATTTAAACTAGACTGAAACTGGTTTTAATTCATGTAAACAGGACTTAAACTGGTTTTAATTCATTTCAACTGGACTGCCGCTGGTTTTAATTCATTTCAACTGGACTGAAACTGGTTTTAATTCATTTAAACTGGACTGCCGCTGGTTTTAATTCATTTAAACAGGGCTGAAACTGGTTTTAATTCATTTAAACTAGACTGAAACTGGTTTTAATTCATGTAAACTAGACTGAAACTGGTTTTAATTCATGTAAACAGGACTTAAACTGGTTTTAATTCATTTCAACTGGACTGAAACTGGTTTTAATTCATTTCAACTGGACTGAAACTGGTTTTAATTCATTTAAACTGGACTGAAACTGGTCTAACTGGTCGTAGACGGACAGAAACAAGTTAAATTGATTTAAATTGAACTTGAAATGATGGCACTCACCAGCAGGTGGAACATGTCAATGGAAAGAATACATGGAGTGTCTTCTACCTGAGGGTCTGGCACTAGAACTGAAGCAACAACACAACAGTTAGAAACTAGTACATGTTTACAACAACTCATCATTTTGATGGCTGTCTGACTTGTGACTGCACAAAGAGCAGAACACATTGAGCACTGTGTCAGTGTGTCGTACCTGACAGCAGCCTAATGAAGTGAGCAGGAACAGATCTCAGTGGAGCTGAGGTCCAGCAGGCTGAGCTGTACCTGGTCAGAGAGCTCAGACAGTCGTCCTACAACACAAACACAGGAAGTGTATCAGGCTGTGGTGCTCACAGGAACCAACAATCATTCTCATCAAATCTCTGTCTTCATGTGACTCACCTGTCGGCAAGGTAAACTTCCAAACAAAGGTTTGTTTTCATCCATGAGGAGGCGCTCTGAAAACAAACCAACAGAACCAGTGAGCATGGCTGACAGCAGCAGTGTGTTCCTACAGTCAGCTGTGTGCATACCTATACTCTGGATGGTGTAGGCGCAGGTGGACCAGCTCAGCACCGGGACTCTGGGGTCCTGCTCGTTGGGGTTCACCTTCAGACCCACCTTGTAGGCTGACATACTGAAGGTGTTGATCATCTCACTGATGCTACTGGAAAATGGATTCCTGAGAGACACAGTTACATGTGGGAGGTCATCATCAAGAAGAAAACAAACTCCCTGTTAGAGCTGTGCAATCCATCAAATTCAATCAGTCAGATTTAGATTGTTGCACCAAACTGTTAGAGAAACTGACAGGTTTCAGTTTGAGCTCTGCCTCCCTGCTTTGACTGTTGAATGAGCTGCAGCCCCTCTGGCTGCTGCAGCTTGTCTGCAGACTGAGATGAGACTGGTGAACAGCTACACTACATTCAGAAATAACAGTTAGCACTACAAGTATAACCCAACAATCAATGTTCACATCCAAGCTCCTAACCCACAGTACTGACACCACCTGCTGCTGGTGCACATCATGGAGGGTTTCCCCAGCATTATACAAATCAAACATCCACCCCCATACAGGTCATGGCACGTAATAAATGAAGAAATGTCTGCCCCTTACTAAACACTGGAGGTTCTGTTGAAACTGTAGTTATTGATTTGACCTTTTTGGGTTTGTTTTTATACAGTAGCCCATTGTTAAATAAATACTTTGTTCGTTTTTTAAGTGTTACTTCAACAGAAAGGTGGCAAGAAAAAATCCCACTGTAAGAAATTTACTGGAGTTTTGGTGCAATAAATGCAACATGTCTTTTTTTGGCAAAAAATAAATAAAAAAAATAAATGTAACATTTCCTTTATAAAATTATTTTCTGGACAAATAAATAAATAAATAAAACATTTCTTTTTTTGCAAAAAAATAAATAAAACATTTCTCTTTTTTTGCAACAAATACATACATAAATAAATAAAAGCAACATTTCTAAACTCTGTAAAGAATCAGTTTTTATAACCACTGATCAAAGTAGTTGTGATTATTATTTTTACAGTCAGTGACCTTTACTCACTGTGGAGTTAGGTTGACATTGAAGCCCTCAGGAACTACAGGCTCCGCCCCCTCTGATACACCTGGAACACAGAAAAAAGCACCTGAACATTCTGTAAACAGTGATGGGAGCACACGACTCCATCCTCTAACTGACAGCTGACTGACCATCTGACTGCCTCCTGTGGCTGAAGTGCAACACTGCTATTTGCTGACTGGTTGTCTTTAGCCACGCCTCCAGACTGGGATGATCAGCACTGAAGACAAGCAGACATTAAAGGTTAGATAATAAAACAAGAGACACCTGTCTTCAGGTTCACCACAGGTCTTCTTACAGCTCTTTGTAAGACTTAAAGTCAGAGCAGGGGTAACGTAACATATTCAAAGGGAAGGAGTAACGTAACATATTCAAAGGGAAGGAGTAACGTAACATATTCAAAGGGAAGGAGTAA